TTAATGTTATAGATGTCAATAACGAAGGCTTCACATTGCTACCAATGGAGGAATATTGGCCTCCATACCAAGGTAACATAATTTGGCACAACGATGAGATGCGAAGAAAGAAAAAGGGACGCCCAAACAATAAGCATATAAGAACAGAAATGGATACAACTGATAAAATGATAAGGTTATGCAGTATATATTGTCATCCGGACACAACTGAAAAAATTGTCCTAATGTGGGAGGAACATCTGCATCATGATTTAGCTTATCGTTTCAGTTGTTGGAACCTAATATTTTGATATATTGATGATTCTTTGCTACAACAATGTTAACAACGAACAACACAAACCGCGAACTAACAACACACAACACATACGACACATAAAACAACTAACGGAAAAGAAACATAAAATATTCCTAACTGATTACAACAATCAAATTAATTTCATTCGGTCCAAACACGACTTCCCTTGCATCCGTGTGAGTCTTAACACGAACCCCTCCACGCAGCCGATCAAGTCTCTCGATACTTCGATTTTTCCACTTCACCAATGTCTCCTTTTAACCACTGATGCAGCTCCTTCTTAAGTTGATTGAAACTTTGTATTTTCCAAAACAGCATGTCCATCGGAGGCTTCTCTATCGAAAAGACAAATTTTGTCCACCAGCGACGATACATGTTATTAGTGGAACAAAGATATGAGATGAGTTGTGGAACTAAATGATCAGAACACCTCTATTTATATAAAAAATTTCAATTTCTAAGGAATCTCCAGATGAATTGGGGACTCCCTTATGTGTATACAACCAAGTCGCCAATTGAATTGAATACTGCATGAAGTGTCTCTAATCCAATTGGCGACTTCCTTAAAGTCATTACAAAGGGTCGCCAATTGATATGACACTCACATGTATTCAACCACTCTAACTGGAATATTTTGAGAATTTTTTGAAAACTGAGGTATTTTAAATTTTTTTTAAAAAAAAGAATTATTTGAGTAAAAAATACACCATTTGATTTCGGTTCCAAACCAACTAAATCTTGAGAGTAGTTTTTAAGAAAATGAAAGGTTTGTCGGATAACATAATGTCTTTTTAATTTAAAAATATATTAAATTATAACAAAAAAATGAATGAATAAAGTGAAATAATTTAGGCAAAATATCCTTCTTGGTCCCTTAACTATACCTCGGGGTTCATTTTGGTCCCTTAACTTTAAAAAGTTCCATATTGGTCCCTTAACTCTTCAAACGTTCCATATTAGTCCTTTTTGACCTATTAGCAACGGAAAAAAAATCAAAAAACCGTCGCTAAATCCGTCGCTAATAGGTCAAAAAGGACTAATATGGAACATTTGAAGAGTTAAGGGACCAATATCGAACTTTTTAAAGTTAAGTGACCAAAATGAACTCCGAGGTATAGTTAAGGGACCAAAAAGGATATTTTGTCAATAATTTATCAATGTCAAGAACTTTTTTCTTTTTCGTTTTAATAAACACACCTTCTTATTATCATTAACATAAAAGTCAAAATTTATAAAAACCAAGACAAGTGTGAGTTGGAAAATAATCAGCATCCATGTGCCAAAACAAGTTTACTTTTAATAAAACATTTTTATTTAAATGTCTTTTCTTTGTGCCAAACATTATCCTTAAATTAATATATGTTAGAAATTAGTAAGAAATATTAATATATAAATATTAATAATAATAATAATAATAACAATAATAATAATAATAATAATAATAAATGATTAATAATAATAATAATAATAATAATAATAATTATTATTATTATTATTATTATTATTATTATTATTATTATTATTATTATTATTAGAAAAATGAAACAAATTTCCTTTTTTTGTTTCAACAAGAATATTTACTTTTTAATTAAATTCTACCAAGTGAATAGTCTTCGTTAAACATTAAAATATTATACATTAAATGCTAAAATTATTAATTAAAATATTTTCACTTAATTTTCTTTTCCTTGTGCAAAATAATTTTTTTATTTAATATATATTATAAATTAATAAATATATATATGAGCCTTTTATTTTTATTAGTAGTGAATATTATTCAATTACCTTGTTTGTGTCAATTCATTTGCCACGTTTTATTAGCCTTTTATTTTTATTACAAGTGAATATTTATTCCATACACATTAAAATATTATACATTAAATATTAAAATTAATGATTAAAATAATTTTTATTTAATTGTATTTTCCTTCTGCCAACTCATTATCTATAATTTTATATATTTTTTAAATTAGTAAAAATCATTAACAATTATTTAAAGTATAAAATATAAATATATTAATAATTATTATTATCCAAGAATGAAACTATTTACCATGTGTTTTGTTAAATATTAAAACTAAAAATTTTAATATTGTTATTTAATTATATTTTCCTTGTGAAAAATTATTATATTTTTTTAAATATTTTTTAAAATTATAAAAAAAATAATAGATTAAAATTATAATTTTTAATATTTAAAAAAAAACATATCGAACTATTTACCTTCATTTGTGTCAATTTAGATAGCCAATTTTTAGTAGAAGTGAATATTATTCGTTATACATTAAAATCATATAAATCAAATATTAAAATCAATAAAAAAAAAATTTTTGTAAAAAAAATTTTTTTAATTATTTATTATTAGGATGAATATTATTCTTTAGGTAATGCTAACTTATGTTCTAAGGACACAAGTTAAGAGATAAATATAATAATAAATTTAATATAATTTTATAATTTATAATTTTAATACAATTTAGCTTTTGAAAAATTGTGTAATAAATTTAATACAATTTTATAAATAATAATTTTATTGTTCTTTTCAATACAAATTTTTTTATGATTTTTTTAACTTGTGTCCTCGGGGCACAATTTAACATTACCCTTATTTTTTATACATTAAAATCTTTAATTTTTTTATAGTTTATATATTAATAATAAAATAATAATAATAATAATAATAATAATAATAATAATAATAATAATAATAATAATAATAATTATAATAATAATAATAATAATTATAATAATAATAATAATAATAATAATAATAATAATAATAATTATAATAATAATAATAATAATAATTATTATTATTATTATTATTATTATTATTATAATGATAATGATATTGATAATAATACTATTTAATAAATTAAAAAAAATAAATGAAACTTCTTTCTTGTTTTGTGTCCATTTAAAATGACAATTTTAAAAGCCTTCTATTTGTAGTAGGATTGAATTGTCTTCCTGATATATTTAAATCTGGTACATTAAGTATTTAATTTAATAATTAAAAAATATAGTAATTAGTAATTACAAGTTTATAAACAAATAATAAATAATTAAAAATAGTACAAATGATAATTTAGAAAAAGAAACTACTAATAGAAACTTGTTAAAATAGTAAATAATTTAATAAGAAAAATATACACAGGTTATCTGCGGATTTTGCTGCGGAAATATTTCCGCAGCAATACCTACAATTTCACCTGCGCCTTTATTGTGAAACATTGTTTCTAGCAAAAGTTATGGTAGTAGCAAATTTCGCAGGAATTCTTGAAATTTTAGCTGCGACTTTAAATTTAAAAATAAAATATAAATTTGCTGTGGATTTTACTGCGAAAGGTTTCGCAGCACTAGTTGCCAATTAAAACCACAAAATTCTCTAGAAATATCTCAGGAATTGCTGCGAAATTTGCTGAGGAATTTGCTGTGAACTTTCTGCAACTTTTGCTGCAAATTGTTTAATTTATTTTATTTTTTGTTATATTTTTAGGTTTAATAAATAAAATTATAAAACACGATATTGTTGAGACATTTTTTTATTTTATATTAAATCTTAGTTTTTTTAAAAAAGTTTTATAATATTAATTGAGTTTTTTTAGTTATTTCTTAAAAAAAGTTTATTTATTTAATACTTTTTTATTGTTGTAAAGATTAGAAAAATAAAAAATTTAAGTTTATGGTATAATTGTAAAAATATAAGTTTATATATTTAATTATATATTTATTATTATTAAATAAAATTGTAAAATATAATTGACATATTGATTTTTTAAATTTATATATATATAATATAAAAACAAACTTATTTTAAAATAAATTTCACAATCATTTTTTTTTATTGAATAATAATAGTTTTTGTTTAAATTTTGTCAAAAATTATTTTTTAATTATTTTTTAGATTTATTTTCTGTAAGATAATGTTAGTACATATTATTCTTATTTAAGATACTTTTAAGATTTCATAGTTGTTGCAAATTTTTTGAAAAATATTTATAAAATTAGAATGATATTTTTAATCTCTATTTGTTCTATTTTATTAATTATTTTTAATGTGAATTGTGAAATTTTTTAATTTAAATTCAAATTTTAATAATTAGTCTAAATTTATTAAAGAAAATATTAATTTTATTTAATCTATTTATTTTTTTGTTTTTATGAAATTAAAAAATATAATCTTATATATTTTTAATTCAATAAAATTAATAAAAGAAATAAAAATTATAAAAATTAAAAACAGAGTAAAATTTGGTAGTGGTATCGAATCTTTAGGCATTAAACTTTTGGCTAAAATCATTGCATTTGCACCTGTTTAGATAAGTGATATGGGAAGAAGTTGGTAGATTTTTACCATCATGTTTTCATTCACCTAAAATCCAAAACAGTATTTTGGAACCTTTCCCATTTCACAGATACAGCACTATCATTTACCTTACCTTCCATTGTTGCCATCGACACTCCTCAATAATCAATGTTACTCCTCCGAATTTCCCTCTAATTTTATTTCTAATATTCAAGTTAACGTGTTAATTTTTAACAATTCCATTGACTCTTTCAATTTTCAGTTTTCAATTCCTTCGGAGAAGGGTCGAAAATTGACTTTAAATCTTGATTTCTTCAATATCGTGATAATCAGTGAGTTTTGTGTTAGGGTTTTCAATTTCGAAGATTCATTCATTGAAATCGAACGGTGATCGTTATGTTAGGGGAAGTGCAACTTCAGCCTCCACCTATTCAGCAAAACCCTAGTGACTCCGATCCTTTACTCGCGCTGAAGTTTTTGGCAATTACGGTTGCTTTATCTATAACATGCTTGCTTTTACTTGCGCTGAAGTTTTTTTCTCTCGTTTTGATTTGATTACCAGAATATGGAGGATCCTATTCCAGCTACTGCAGAGTTGAATGAGAAGAATGCCTTGGCTTTAGCCATCCTTCTCGTCGGTAATTTGTTACATTTCGATTACTTTTTCTTATGATATCAGAGGATAATAATCATGTGAAATGAACTATGCTCCAGCATTGCGTTCCTATTTCTGTATTGTGTTGGATATTGAAATTAGATAATGATGTTTTGACCATAATTCATAATTTTTTTTGTTAATGGTGGTTTTAGCTGATCAACAACCTTTTGCTGTTTTAAATCATGCAAGTGGAACCACTGGTTGGGAATTGGCACTTGTTATGGCTCCCAATTCGAATGAGAGTGCTACAGCAGCTAGCAAATTGGTATGCTTTTTTCTTCAATCTTTCCTCGGTCCCTTACTTGCATATATACTTTCTGTTTCTCTTAATAAACAAGATCCAATATTCAGGATGGAGTTTTGGACCTGCTTACACTAGACAGCCTATATGACGATGCACTCAGAAGAAACAACCAAAATCTTAGCTATAATCCGTGGAAGCAAGCACTGGTGGGAGGCATGATACAACCTGCAATGCACGATCCATTTTTTGCCTCTAATAGAATGGCTACTCCACCTTTAGTGCAAATGGCAGTTATGTCCAACCAGCAACAATCTTTCATGTATCAACAACAACAACAACACATTATTTATAGTTAAATTCTCACATTTGCAGGACCGAATTGTTCAACTATTTGAAACCAACAGATATTCTGTTGTTAACATCTTTGATGTGACATTGCATCCTCAACTTAATGTGACTGGTGTAGTTGAGGTAAAATAGCATTCAATTAATACCAATATGTGATTATCTATTTTATCGATCATCATTATATTATCTCTAGTGTACAAGAATGATATTTGGTAGGAATCGGACAATGTAGTCACATTTTTTTTATTCATTTCACACCGGCAGATTCCTGAAGGAAATGGCTCTGGAGTAGTTTGGGATTCAATTCTTCAATTCTGTCTGCAAATTATAACATGCAGAAGACAATATGATTCACCTTTGTTTAATCAATAGCATATGTCTTTGGATAGTTATGTTTACAACTTACATGTTGTCATCAGTCAAGCTAATGATAATACATTTATAGGTTTATTTACAAGTTGGGTTCCGACAAGTTTGCGGTAAGGAAGTTCTGGTGACCGCCTTAAAACTAGCCGATTGAGACGATACACTGATCCAACATGCATCCTTTAATCATAATTAGCAATGTTATCATAATTACTAATATACTTTTTCTATATTACTCGCCCTAGTAATAAAGAAAAGGAAGGTTCCTGTTAGGATCCCATATTGTCTAGGTGTGAAGCTTATGTATACCTTACAATATATCTAGCTCAAAACCATACATTAGCTAAGAATCATAATGGAGAAGAACTATCCATAAAAGTTTATATCATATTAAATGAATTAATGTGTAATTTATATAGTGTAATTTAAAGATATGTGGAGACTATCAAGGGACTGAAATTGGGATCTCTATATTATTATGATACAGGTCACCAAAGAAAGCCTAGATAAAGCGATATCAATATGTGGACCTTACAGTGTTAGTCTATTTCATGCACTACAATTTTGTGATGCTCATCTTGGACACATTTTCAATGATGGTCCTCAACCAATAGAAAGCGTTACTGTATCGATAGGTAAAGAATCACTTGTTGAATTGAGTTTCCAACAATACAATGAAAGTGCTCATTAAAATCAGTGCCGAAAAATACAAGTACGAAATAGTACCAAAGATAATAGCTCTTAATTTTTTTCAACATTGAGATCCGTAAAAAAACATTAAATTATTCCAAACACTATAGACAGTGACTTCAATTCAGGTTTTTCAATTCAGTCAGAGAAAAAAAGGGGTGCTAAGAATGGAAAGAAGAATCTGAATGTGAAGCCACAAAACTTGAAGCAAAAGAGGAACCAGACAACAAATGGTGGAAGCAGAAGAAGCTCCATTTATATAGGAGTTACAAGGTTTGAAATTGAATCACTTTTTTGATTACCCTATTGAAATTTGATTTCATTTGCATTTGACTTATTTTGGTTTGATCAAATTAGACATAGGTGGACTGATAGATTTGAAGCTTATCTTTGGGATAAGAGTTCTTGGAACAACATTCAGAACAAGAAGGGAAAACAAGGTTAAAAGTTGGGAAGAAGGGATAAGAGTTGAATCTTGTAACGCCCGTTTTATTTTGATTAAATTCAATTGTGACTTTTCTATGTCTCGTTGCATCGTAGTCGTAGTTGAGTATGTGTTTGGATCGAAGGAAGGAAATTGAATCGGTCGAATTGTAGGGAAAAAGTGTAAAATTCCGTAACAGTTTTAGGAAACATCAAAAAATCATATCTCTTGATCCGTAAGTCGGATTTGACCCCCTTTCGAAGCGTTGGAAAGCTAAAGAGATGTTATATCTAAAAAAATTGAAAAAAATTTAATTTTTCTGCTATGACGACCGTTACAGGAGTGTGACGACCGTCACACGAGCAAAAACTGCAGTTATGCAGAATTTGAACGTGTTCTGGTGGAATGAGATTTTGTAGCAAAAATATATTCCCGTAGACTCTTTTACCCACAATTACATCATTTTTTGGGGAAAGGAAAGACGGAAAAGAGAAGTTACGCATTGAGAGAAGTGGAGAGCGAAGAATCATCCATCGGCGAATTCGGGAGATTTCTGCAGAAAAATCACCGTAGAGCAGAAGCGGAATCGGAAAGCGTGGAATTGGCCTCAATTCTAAGGTAAGGGTGGGGTTCAATTCTATAACTGGGAGTATGATCGAATTCATGTGGGGATCGAGTCATAGGTATAGTTTTCGTTAATCGATAAATGTTAAGGAAAATGTTTCCCTAATGGGACCAGATTTCTATGTAGGAATGAATGTGTTATGTGGTTATTAGTGCGATGCTCTAAGGTTTTCCTTATGGGCAAATACGTAGAACGAATATGTTATACGGTTATTCGTACAACGCTCTAATGGTTTTCCCTAATGGTCGTCAAGTTGGCCAAGTTGGTCTAAGGCGCCAGTTTCAGGTACTGGTCCAAAAAGGACAGTTACCTGGTTGTGATTGATTTGTAATTAAATATGTGAGAAGATGCCGTAATGTTGTTATTACGATAAAATGTTAAAGATTAATTGTAGAACTGATGTCGATGTTATACCTGTATAAGAATAGCCGTTTTGTGTGAACACTTTGAGTTCCTATTTGTTGATACGATGTTGCAATGTTCCTTTACATGAACAGTCGTAAATGTTGAAATTACGTTGTTATTGTTCCCATATGTGAACGAGTAAAAAGTGATAGTTGTATGAGTGGTATGATGTTATGATGCTCTGTTATGGACATTCCGGTTGTAGGCATAATGCCTTGTTATATGGTTGATATGGTTGTGTTGTAGTCCATAATAGATGCATTTCATGGTATAGCATTTGGCCTGGATTGGCGACGGTTGTGCCTGTATTGGCGTTATTTGGAGTGTTGGCTCCTAGATGGGTTCGGGGTGTTGGCCCTGTCCCGAGTTTTGGAGTGTTGGCTCCTAGATGGGTTCGGGGTGTTGGCCCTGTCCCGAGTTGTGGAGAGTTGTCTCCCAAAATGGTACCACATGCATATGCACAGTTGAGTCGCATTGTTGAGTCGCATAAAGTCGCATAATTACGCTAGTTGTATGTTAATGTTGTTTATGTGAGATATGGATTACTCGCAGTTGTTGTCGATGATGGTTATGATTTTGAAACCTATAATGTTGTGATGAGTTCCGACATGTTTTCTATCATGTTTTATGTTATATTATTGATATCTCACCCTTTTCCGTTGTATGTTACCTCCTCTGGTGGTAATTTGCAGGTAGTCAAGAATAGAGCGTAGTTCCCGTAAGGTGTCGTTGGTCGCTCGGATACGTAGCACTCTTGGGGGGGGGGGGGGGGGGGGGATGAACGATTGTTCATGTTGTTTATTTGATGTTTTCTTGTTGCTGAATTTTACTAAGTATTTTAGTTGAATTGGTTGTTTTTTTGTTAATGCACCGAATGCTGGTTGTACGCACTAAGCCGAAGAATCGGTAGTGCTGAATTTTGATGGAAAACTATATGTTTAATGAATATATGCAAGCTGAAGAACTTGCTGAATTTTAATGGAGTTTTGGTTGTAATTTCTGGTATCACATTGATTTTCATAAATGTTGAAAGTGCATTATGTTCCGCTGCGAATGAATATGTTGCTATGTAATTAAGATGTTATGTGAGTTGTTATTAGTTGTTCATCCAAGAGTATGTGCTATGTATCATCACTGAATGCATGTTGCCTAGTTAAATTAAATGGTAAAATGCATGCTTCTGCTAGCTGAAAAATGTGACTCCCAGGTTTTTGTCTGTGTGACGACCGTCACAAGTCCATGACGACCGTCATGCGTACAAATTTCGTGCACTCTGATTTTGATTTATTTTAAATATGCCTTGGGTAGAAATGGGGTGTTACATTAGTGGTATCAGAGCAGGTCGGTCTGTCCGGCCAAGTTGTCTAGTGTCGTCGAGTCAGTCGTCGTGCCTAACACTAGAGTCTCGTTGATTATGAAATTTGACTGTTGGTTGTTGCAGCTTAAGTGAAATGGCTGGGAGGAATGATGCTGCAATTGCTGCTGCTCTGCAAGCTTTAGCTAATGCTATGGAACATTAGCCAAATCCTGCTAGAGATGCTGGGTCTCGCAGTTTGGCAACGTTTCAACGGGAGAATCCGCCTACCTTCAAGGGTAAGCATGATCCTGATGGTGCATTGGAGTGGCTAAAGGAAATGCAGAGAATCTTTCATGTGATGGATTGCGCTCCAGCACAGAAGGTCCGTTATGGGACTCATATGCTAGCAGTCGAAGCTGATGACTGGTGGCTAGAGATTCGTTCAGTGTTGGAAGCTGCAGGTGAAGAAGTTACTTGGACGGTATTCCGTAGGGAATTTCTAAAGAAGTATTACCCGGAAGATGTCCGTGGTAAGAAAGAGATTAATTTCTTGAACTGAAGCAAGGAGACAAATCTGTTACTGAGTATGCGGCGAAGTTCAAGGAGTTGGCTAAGTTTTACCCGCACTACAGCGCAGAGACTGCTGAATTCTCTAAATGTATCAAGTTTGAGAACGGATTGAAGTCTGAAATCAAGAAAGCAATCGGGTATCAGAAGATCCGTGTCTTTGATTCATTGGTTGAAAGCTGTAGGATTTATGAAGAGGATAGCAATGCTCATTACAAGTTGGTGAGTGAGAGGAGAGGCAAATCACAGCAGAGTCGTGGTAAGCCTTATGATCCTCCAACTGGCAAAGGGAAACAGAAAGTAGCTGACGGCCGGAAAGCTAGTAGGGGAGATGCTCCTGCTGGTATTGTTTGCTATAAGTGCGGAAAACCAGGTCACAAGAGTAATGTATGTAATTCTGGATCATTGAAATGTTACCGTTGCGGAGAGTTGGGACACGCTGTTGGTGAGTGCAAACGCAAGGGAATGGTTTGTTTCAACTGTGGTGAAGAGGGACACCTGCGAGACAAGTGTCAGAAGCCTAAGAAGGAACAGAACGGCGGAAGAGTGTTTGCGCTATCTGGGACTCAGACATCCAGTGATGACAAATTGATTGAAGGTACTAGTTTCATTAATGGTAGTCCTTTACTTGCTATTAATGACACTGGTGCGTCTCATTGCTTTATTGATGCAGATTGTGTTGAACGTTTGGGTCTTATGTTGTCACACATGAGTGGAGAGATGGTAGTTGAGACCCCAGCTAAGGGATCGGTAACTACGTCTCTTGTGTGTTTGAAATGTCCTCTGTCGATGTTTGATAGAGATTTCCTGGTTGACTTAGTCTGTTTGCCACTAAGTGGGATAGACATAATTTTGGGTATGAACTGGTAAGAGTATAACTGCGTTCATATTAATTGCTTTGATAAGTCGGTGAGATTCTCCACTCCTGAGGAAGAGGGAGCGTGTTGGGTAACTACCAAACAGATGAAGCAGATATTGCTAGGAGATGTGCAGGTGTTTGCATTGGTGGCATCATTATCCATTGAGAATCAAGCGATAATCGATGAATTGGAAGTTGTTTGTGATTTCCCTGAGGTGTTTCCAGATGAAATTCCTGAAGTTCCTCCGGAGCGGGGAATTGAATTTTCTATTGATCTCGTACCCGGTACCAGACCTGTGTCTATGGCACCGTACAGGATGTCTGCATCTGGATTGGCAGAGTTGAAGAAACAGTTGGAAGACTTACTTGAGAAGAAGTTCGTTAGACCAAGTGTATCACCGTGGGGAGCTCCGGTATTGTTAGTGAAGAAGAAGGATGGCAGTATGAGGTTGTGTATTAACTACCGGCAACTGAACAAAGTTACGATTAAGAACAAATACCCGCTTCCGAGAATTGATGACTTGATGGATCAATTGGTTGGAGCGCGAGTGTTTAGTAAAATTGATTTGAGGTCGGGGTATCACCAGATTAAAGTAAAAGATGACGATATTCAAAAAACTGCGTTCAGAACCAGGTATGGACACTATGAGTTTACGATAATGTCTTTTGGCGTTACTAATGCGCCGGGAGTTTTCATGGAATATATGAACCGTATCTTCCATGAGTATTTGGATCGGTTCGTGGTAGTATTCATTGATGATATCCTAATTTATTCAAAGTCGAAGGAGGAGCATGTTGAGCACTTGAGATTAGTGCTGCAAGTGTTGAAAGAAAGGAAGTTGTTTGCGAAACTGTCGAAATGTGACTTTTGGTTGGAGGAAGTTAGCTTTTTGGGTCATGTTATATCAGGTGATGGAATTTCCGTAGATCCATCTAAGGTTGATGCCGTGTTGAAATGGGAAACTCCGAAGTCGGCAACGGAGATTAGAAGCTTTTTGGGACTTGCTGGTTATTATAGAAGGTTTATTGAAGGTTTTTCTAAGTTGGCCCTTCCGTTAACTAAGTTGACTTGTAAAGGGAAGACTTTTGTATGGGATGCTCAATGCGAAGCAGGTTTTACGGAGTTAAAGAAGAGGTTGACGTCTACTCCGGTTTTGATCTTGCCTAACGCAGAAGAACCGTTTGTTGTATACTGTGATGCTTCTAAGTTTGGTTTAGGAGGAGTACTCATGCAGAATAATAAAGTAGTTGCGTATGCCTCAAGACAG